CGGGAGGGCCCCGGGGGCGCGGGCGGCGCGGCGGGCGGCGTTCGCGAGCGGCGGCGCGGCGCGCTTCGTGCGGAGGAGCGCGACCGGCTGCGCGCGGAGGCGCTGGACTCTGCCGAGCTGTTGGACGCGGAGCGCAGGGTCCTGCGGGCGGAACGAGAGCGAGCCCGTCAGCGCCGCGGATCGCGCCCGGGAGGCCGGCGAGGCGAGGGCCGGCAGCGCCTGGCGCCGTGCCCGTGAAGGCCCCCCTCCCCGCGGCCAGGCCGGGCGGGGGCTGCGGGGCCTCCCTGCCTCCGGGGCTACGCTGCAGCTCAGCCCCCTCGCCGAGATTGTCTCCTCAGCCCACGGCCTGGGAGGCCCGTGCCCTGTGGAGAGGCTGCAGGCCCCCCCGACTATTCCCCCCCCCCCGCCTTTCCTTTCCTGCACGGAGCCCAAGGTGGGCCACATGGCTCCCCCCTCCGTGTGACCCTCGCAGCGTTGACTAACGCAGGGTGGGCCGAGTGTCCAGGACGGGCCCAGCGCCACCCCGGGAGCTTCCTGCCCAAGTGGGGGCTTGAGCCTGCATCTCCCCAGTCCTGGGTTCTCGAGGACCTGGCCCCGCTTCCCAGCCGGCCCCTGGCTGTCCATCGGGGTGGCTCTGCCCCCCACGCAGGACCCACGTTTAGAAGCGGGCCAGCCTCCAAGCGCAGCTCTGCTCATGCAGGCGACCCCCTTGGTGGCAGCCGCCTCAGCCCCAGTGAGACGCGGATGCTCGTCTCTGGGCCCACATGGGCAATGGCAAGCAGCCGCTGCTGCTGCTGCGGCTGCTCCCCTCTGGAAGTTTTCGGGCCACCAGGGAGAATCACCTGCTCCCACCCAGGCATCACTGGGGGGGACAGACCATTCTGGCTGGCTGTAAACATTACAAGAGCACGGAAAGGCCAAATGCAAAAGGAAAGAACGGCCGGCCGCCTGCCCACAGGCTCTTCCTGGGTGGGTGGAGGGGGATTATTCTGGAGCTGCCAAAACCCTCTGGGAAGTCTGGAGGAGAGGGCCAAGGAAGGCCTGGGTGGGGTGCGGGCCAGACGGCCGTCTCCCTGCCACAAGGCCAGGTGGCTGTTGTGCTGTGAGCCGTGTGCCCGTGTAAGAACCGGCTCCCGCCACGGCCGGAGCCCTGGAAGCGGTTGCTCGCGGCGGCCGCAAGCCCCGTGCTTGCGCGAACGGCTGCTCCCATGCCAGGCCACCGGCTTTGCCCTCCCCGTATCCCCTGGACCGGGAGCGCCGTACGGGCTGCTGATGCGCTGCATCTTCCAGGCGAGGTACTGGATGTTCTTGTCCAAGGTGCGCAGGGTTTGGTGAAGGCTCAGGGTCTCGTACGACCTGTGGCGCACGACGGAGAGAGACAGAGACGCGGGCGCTGGTCAGGGGTGTCTCGGCGCCCTGGCAAAGCAGCCGCTTCTGCCTGAATTTTCCCTGTTAAGCTCCCCTGGCCCCCCGCTGGGCTGGGCTGGGCTGGGCTGGGCTGCCCACACCTGCTCACCCCATCCTCTTGCTCGTGCCTCCTCCCAGCCTGCCGGGTGGGCTCCCCACGGGCGCGAATGTCAGGCCAGGCCTTCAGGCTTGCCTGTGCCAAGCGGGGCTTCCCGGGGCCGGAGCAGCCGCTGCCTCTCCCCTCGCTCTGCGCCGCGTCTCGTGCCGGCCCATGTCCTGAACCAGAGGGCCCTGCGCACAGCCCCTTTGCTCCAGAAAGGGGGGCGCGCAAGGTGCCGAGGCTCTTGTGGCAAGGTGTTAGGGAAGAGGAGACCCCCCCAGGGCACTCCGGGATGGGGTGGCCTCTGGTGGGCAGGCCCCTGACCCCCGCAGGGTGCCCACTGCTTTCCGGGCCCTGCCTGGCCCCCCTGCTGGGGGGCCAGTGTCCTCCAGGCCTGGCCACCCCCGAGGGCCACTCACCTCCATTCCGTCTCTGTGCTTGAAGTGAGCCTTCTCCACTCGGAGTCGGTGCTCGCGTCTCCTGCTCCTTCCGAGGGTGCTGCCGACAAACGAGCCCCGAGAGAGGTCTGTGGCGGCTCGGGACGTGGGGTGCGGCAGCCCCGGTGCCCGGGCCAAAGGTGGGGGGGGGTCGGGGCAGGACTTACTTCTCCTCGCTGCCAGTCTCTTGCCCCACTTCTTCCTGAGGCAAGGGGGGACCTGCCGAGGGAGGGCGAGACACAGAGCGTGAGTCGGGGGCCGCTGCCGCGAGCAGGACACAGGAGGGCAGGGGCCGTGGTGCCCCCCCCCCCAGCTTCCCAGCCGTGTACGTCTGCAACGAGCGACCTGCATCCCACCCTGTCCTTCCCTCTTCGCGCGCGGAGAAATACCAAGTCCCACCCGCTGCTCTGGAGGAGGAAGCCCAAGTGAGAACCTGCTACCCAGGCGAACGGCTGTGGGGGCCCCTGCAGGCCCCCCCGCCCCCCCGAGGCCCGGGTCAAGTCCAAGCGCTGCACTCCAGGAAGGACGTACACCGGCTGGAGGGGGTGCAGATCAAGAGGGTGGGGGCAGACGGGACACGAGCCCCGCACAGACTGACCGGGGGGTGCATTTCGCGTGCAGCACAGTGGGACAGAAAGGTGGGGTGGCGCTTCCACGGGACCAGCAGGGCCGTCACACAGAAGGGGGGCGAGGGCCGCTCTCCGTGGCTCCCGCAGGCACTTCTTGGATGGAAGTCCCAGCGGGGTGGTTCTGGTCCGAACACGGGGGGAGGCGCTGGTGGGAAGGGCGTTTGGCCAGGGGGCCTTGGGCTCAGGGGCTCCGTCAGGGAGGCCTTTGGAGGCTGGAGCAGTGCCGGCCAGCGATCAGGCGTGGGCCAGACCACCTGGTCTCTCGAGTGATGGTCCCCGGCCCTGCCGCACCTCCGGGGAATGGCTCGCCGAGCGCCAGCACGTCCTTCTTTTTGGCATCAGGCTAAATTGGATTTGTCCAGGAGTTTTGACCTGTTCATTGTTCTCAACGGGTTGAGCTACCTTTGCTTTCATGCGTTCAAGTCTGCATGAGCACCCTGGAATCCAGATGTGGGTGACGTCCAGCTGGGAATGTTTTTTAAACAAAATGTTTTATGAGCTGTTTTTAATTACTGGCTGTTTGTTTCTGTGCTGCTTTGGGTAAGCCTCAGTGTAAACAAGGCAAGGACAAAATATTGCCAAGGACAAATGAATACACTTATAGTGGAAAAGTGAAGATCACAGAGGCATGTCAGCTGGTACAGCTTAAATTGGCACCCCTTCCTTCGGAGAGTGCCACACCGGGAAAGGGTAACCCGAGAAGCATTTATTTAGTTATTTAAAACATTTCTGTGCCGTCCCCATCGCAACAGAGCCTCGGGGCGGCTCACAAAGGCTCATTTACAGCATCAGCCTAGCATTGCTCTGGGTTCAAAGGTTCCTCCCAGAAAAGAAGTGTGGATTTTGGGCAGTGGGCGGGCCCCAGCAGGGGTGGGTGCAGCGATCCCGCACCTCTTGGGTTCAGGGGGCGCCTCTGGCATTCCAGGAGTGCCACGAGCGCTCTCGGCAAAGGGCTGCTGACCGGGGACGTCCTTTCCTGAAATGGCCATCCAGCGGGGCACGGCCGGGCACGGCACCCTCCTCTCCTAGGTGGCACGCTGGCAGAGCGCCCCCGGGCACGGCAGAGGTGGGGGCTGCAGTGTGCACCCCCCTTCTGAGCTCAGGTGGCTGCCAGAGGGCAGTCCCTTGCTTTGTAGCATGAGAGTTTCCCAAGCGCGCGTGTGCGTGCATGTGTGAAGATAAAATAAAAATTAGGAGGGCCAGGGAGCCCGGAGGAGATCGGGAGGCGTGTCCGCAGGCTTGCTGGTGTGCATGGGCCCCCCACCGGGGACCCCGGGCTCTTCCGCACCACGCAGTGCCCGGCCAGGGCAAAGCCTGCCTCTTACCCAGAACGCTTTCAGCTGCGTGAAGGCCCACTTGCCGGCCAACAGCAGCAGCAGGAGCAGCAGCAGGTGGCAGCTGTCTGGGGTGGCATCCAGCAGGGATGCCAGCATGGTCCTGGGTCCAAGCTGGAACGGCAGCAGCAGCTCTGACAGCCCCTGCCGGGAGACCTCAGGCCCCCTCCCCGAGGTCACGCTTGCATCACAAATGGCCTCCGCAGCCCACCCCGCTCGGCTCAGGGCGATCAGGGAGCACCGGCCAGCCGCAGAACGGGCCTGCCCTGCGCCCGCCCTTCCCGGCTGGGCAGACGGGCAGCAGCAGCTCACTGAAGCAGCGGGTTCGGTGGGCCCTGTGCCCAAAACTATGTCTCCGCTTCGGTTCTGAAACCAACAATCCAGGGCTGCCCGGAAGGAGGCCCTGTGCCTCGATCTGAAAGACCCGGTCCCAGGTCTGGCTGCCTTGGACTCGGCAGCGTGGGAAGCACCCTGGAGATCGGAGCCCTGCGGGGGGAGCCCAAGGCTCCATCGTGGCCCAGGGTGTGGCTGACACGGCGGGCAACCAGCTGCCCCACGAGGCGCTCCCAGCTCTCTCCTGCCCATGTGCCCCAGCAGCCGGTGGGCGGTGTTGTGTCTTTTCGGACTGCAGACG